CTAGTTCAGCATCCTCACCCTGATAGTGAGCAGTAGTGCATGTCAGGGAAAGAGAGGAGCACAGGATGAGTGTAGTGGTATTTCTCCAAAACAGGCTCCCAACATCCTGGCAGAGTCTCCACAGATAGAGCCTACCTATGGAGATATATGGATAGGGGGTTCTTTGGGCTAAGAAATCATCAGAACTGACCCTTTGTCATGCAGCCTCACTTGTGACAAATTAGCACTTTAAAAATGTCTGAAAATTTCTGACTGGCTCTAATAATGATTAATGAGGATTTCATGAGGAGAGATGAAAAGCGAGAAAGAAAAAGACTTGCTCCACATGCTGCCTGCTATCATAAAAGGCAGCAGAGTATTTCAAGAATGATATTCTCTTTTAAAGTAATGGTGTGTTGAATGTGGAATTCTGAAGGCACTATTAATTGAGGGTGGATGGGTTAAGGACATACAGAAGAGACGAAGAGCATATTGTGATGGTCAGACATAGGGTAAAGCATTCAAGAACAGCCCTAACAGGACAGACAAGGCTGTAAGAGAGCAGAACTAGGAAAACATAAATGCCTGGGTCCTCCTGCAACACTGAAGGTGTTGCCGAAAAACTCGGAATAAAGAACTTATCAACACCAATTTAGTGTAGATAAGCAGACACTTCTTTATTGACAGCCAGGTGCACGGGTGAGTCCTCTCACGAACCACGCACCCCTGAACACCAAAATCATACACCTTATATTAAACATATTCATACATATTCATTAGATTTCCAAGAAAGGTTATACATATTCATTGGATTTCTGTGAAGTGATTAGCATATGTAAATGTCCTTTACGCAGGTGCAATGAGGGTCTCTGGTGGTCTTCAGAAGCCCTCTGGTGGTCTTCCATAGTCTTCCTCACTTTGTCCAATAGTTGACCTCTCATGTGATTCTGCGCAGTACGATTTTTGCCATCATGTATTAGATTTACATAAAATACATTCAATGTTAATTCTTGAATTTAATATTTCTAGTGATTGGCCCTCAGTCACACCACCTTATCAATATTCTTATACTAAAACAATCATTGGTTAATCTCACTTAACTCCACTGATTGGAATTCTCGTTAATTAGATCGAAGTAAATCTTTACCAAAGCTTCCGTGGTTAACTGATTTCAGACAATACTCGAATTCTTATAGTTACACATAATACATTGTCTTAAGTTCCTAAGTTCCTATTAATTTGAAATTCTGACATCTGTTATCTAAGTTCTAAATGTTCCTACTAGATGATTTTAACCAATTCCTCCGGCCTTGGTACAGGGCTATACAGGGGATTTCACAGCAGCTGTTAGTTGTTGGTTAAATGTATAGAATGCAATATATAATTTTGCTAAAATATTTCTTATAGTTCCATATTCCTATTAAAATTAAATATGATTAATTCTAACTAATAACAAATCAGTAACAAAGGTGTATGGAAAGGTTCAAAGCCCAGGTGGGATGGGACTTCTGAGACTATCAGGTCCCCTCCTGAAAGCCTGCTCTTCTTTTTGTCATCCCTTTGTCACTGCTCTTGGCGAACAGGAGGAGGAGGGGGATGTGGAAGGACTAAGGGTGAATAATGGAAAGAACATTATGAGTGAGGAAAGTGACTAATTAAAGTCTAAATCAGCACAAACAAAAGTGAGGGAAACCACAGTAACTGATCTGTTGAAGAGCCAAGTCCCAGAAGGAGGATCCCAAATTACATTTGAGAGGGGAGACTGGTTTGGAGAGAAAAACATTCTTTTAAGTTAGAAAGTAGCACAGTCAGGAGGAAAATGTCATATGATGGATAAATAAAGTGCATAGAATTGCATCTGTTAGTATGGGTAGATGTCACTTTCCACCTAAATGGAAAGGAAGATTTTTTTTCATATATTTTGAGACCAAAGAAAAGGCAATTTTAATAGAGGAGTACTTGTGGTTATCAACAATGTTGTTTTGTTTTTCATACGGCCATTGCTATCATACAAGTAGCAGCTTTGCGAATTAAAGCTAAAGTGCTTTCCTCTAGCACTTTCTTGTTTTGGAAGTTCACATTACCAAACACTCATTTTTATAATATGGCTGGTATCTATCTGCATGATCTAGGAAAAGCTGAGTTGAAGGATCTACTATCTGAATTGAGAGGGCACAGCAATGAGGAGAGTGTATCCCCTTATTTTTCCCCTTCAAAGTATGAATAGGGAAGATGCAAACTCCTGAAATGTAGGACTCGAAGAGGACAGGGGAGCTATCTTGGACAGTTTTTCTCAGAAGCAAATTTGTAAGAAATATGTATTTAACTTAAACATAAAAAAGCTTTTTTTTTTTTTTACACTGAGAGGCAGTCATTAGGGTTACGTATCTATTTCAGTTACGTGTGTATTTTACGTACTTAGCTTTATAAGAAATGCTGTTCTTACCACAGTTGAATCACCTGACATCTGAAAATTGACTATTATTCTATAATAATAGGTAACATAACTGTAGTCTGAAAACACAGTCCTACTACACTTGTTTGGTAGTGTAACTAAGTGTGTAGTTAGATAGTAAGTACCCTTACTGCTATGGTATGAATTAATCTCCTTTTTAAAAAAAAAAAAGTTCAGCCTTCTAAGTGGTTTAATAATGAGATAGCCTTAGTAACTTTAAAAAAAAATTCTCAGGTTGGTGATGTTAAATTTCTGGGGAAAAAAATATGATTCTTACTTTATGTATTTGTTTGTGCCTTTATATACAGGCTTGAATGCTTTAGGTTAAGTAAGTAATCTCCTGATGTGTCTCAAAGCTGTTAGCTGTTTTGTTTCTCCATGGTAACAGGAGTATAAAGCAGTATGAGCATGTTACTGAAGTAGGCAGACATGACATTGTTTCGGAATGGGATTACATGTGAGGACTGCAGCTCTAGGGTGATTCTGAACAAGGGCATTTTCTAACACAGAGGTGCTGTGAATTTGGGCAGATGTGCTAATTTAAGGCAATGTTTAGGGATCCAAAACTGGCCTAAAAGAATCTATAAAGTTTGCAGTGGTGGGAGGGATTATCAGGCATCAGGTCGATGAAGCTCTTCCAGAAGCATAGCTCAACATGTGAAGAGGCCTGTGCCAGATCAAGGTTTAAACGAAGGGCTCTGTCTGAAGTTCAGATATAATACAAGTCATAAAGACTTAATGATATATTTTCTGTTTAATTTTTTTTTACATTCAAAAAAAGAACATGGAGGTTGGACAGGCAGATGACATCTAAATTAATGCAGAGTTATCTGTAAGCTTCAGTCAGTAATCTTGCAATAGGACACTAGGTGAACCCTGTACACTTTTGTTCCCACCTTGGCAGAACAGTGTATATATAGAGAGTAGCTCAGCAGACTAGCTAAGATAGCTCTTTCATGAAGAAATGGACAAAGGTAATGACTTATACTGGTGCAGCTTGATCACGCACTGACCTCTCCCTAGCACTGATGCACTCTTGCCCTTTTTTTCCCCTATTGAGATGACTCTGACCTACTAGACTGAGAAAAAAAATCTACTAACTTGCATTTATAGTAAGGGAAAAGTTCTGGCAACCTTTTTCTCATCTGTGTGTATTGCATGAGGGAGTTCTCCCTGTCTCTGTTCCAACAAGCCGTTGTGCAGTGACGAGTTGAGCTAACCTTGCCGACTGAGTCATGTTTCCTCCAAAGGGATACAGCCTGACTGAGGACAGAGCACTGTATGTGCGTGTGCATGTGTGCTTGGAAGAGGCCTTTCATTGTGCTGTTAAAACAGTGTGACTTCCTGGTCTCTCCTCCCTTCCTCTCGGCGCAGGTAAATGTAATTTGTTCTGGTTCAGAAGGCCACGCGACCTGTACCAACACAAGGCAACTTCATGCCAAACACACCTTCCCTTCTGTTGTGCTTCATACTGATGTTCCAGTTGTTTGACTTGCTTTTCTTTTTCTGCAAGTGAAAATTAGCTTTTTATCCAGGCTCCCCAAGGAAGCAGACTTGTAGATTAGTGCTGCCTTTCCATTCATGTGAAACCCTCTCTGCTGTTTGTTTTCAAGGAACTTTTGACCAAATTGGAAAAATTCAACCACTGTACAACTCGGTGGCTGAGGAGAGCCCCAAATTAATGCTGTGCAGAGGGAGAAAGAGGGAAAACTGAGCAGTTCTGGTTAGCAGATCAGCTCTGTGCTGAGCTCCAGACTAGTGCTTTTTGTCCGGAGGAGAGTTAATGTACCTGAAAAACCTTTGTTAGTCCCGTGGCTTTGTTAGCTAGCCCCAGCCCCATGTAGTCAAAGATCGCATCCGTGCACGCCTCTCAGTGCTGCAGCCGGTGAAGGAATGGGTATATAGCTCTACCTTTGTCCTTACGTAACTGTGTTAACAAGGTTGAATCAGGGTAACGATTTTAAGTAGCTAGATTCGTTTTCAAACCCTTTACGCCACAAACGGTGCCGACAAGGCCGGAGGTGGGGGCCCGGGGGGGGGGGGGGGGGGGGGGGAAGGAGCTGCCGGGCCTGCGAGGCTGTGGCCTGGAAACAGGGCCAGCGCTGGGGGGGGGGACGACACGGAACGGACGACCGTTTAGTTGGTCTGGGACCTTCTTCGGGTTTAATCCACGCCAGAAGGACGGGCGGGGGCCCGCTCGGGTGACACGGTGACTGATTTCCAGTCCCCAGCGGATCGTTTTGCCGAAGGGGTGTATCGGAGCGGGGACAACGGCGGTGCCGGCGGCCGCGCTTCCTGCTGCCGCCTTGCCCAACATGGCGCAGGTACAGCTGCCGGCGCGGAGCGGGCCGTGCCGGCAGGGAGAGCCGCTCTTGCCCCTCAGGCTCCGCTCCGCGGCGCGGCGGCCGGCCGGCCCACGGCTGAGAGCGGGCCGGGTCCG